CATATTTTCGGAGTTGTTACCTGATTTGTAAAACCTAACCTCACTTTGTGTTTAATGACATTTTCAGTTTGGGGAATGCAGGAGCTTAACTGGACTATATTGTTATTTCATTAAGTGAATGTTAGTGTTTTTAATCATTGTAACTTTTCTGGGTTTCAAAACTGATACCATCCACCAAATTAATTTGAGCTTCGGGAGGAGACATCTGAAGTGACACTTAACAACATACATGTATAGTTTGTAAGATATAATCCCCCATTTGTAAATAGACATTTTGCAACCTTGATTCAGATTATACATGTAGATTCACCTGTATTTTAAGTGCACATGTAGAGTGATTTGTTTTCAAATGTCTCACATTCTTCTATCTTTCTGGCCCCTTTGCTTCCTGTTTTCCTCTCCCTTTCTGTCCCTCTCAACCTCTTTTGTCTTCTCCTTCTCAGCTCTTCCATGAGGAGTTGGCTCTCCAGTGGGTGGTGAGCAGTGGGAGCGTCAGGGAGGGCGCTCTGCAGCAGGCCTGGTTTTTCTTTGAACTCATGGTAGGAAACAATCTTGACACAGGAAATGTGATTTATGTGAAATACAATATCTCACGTTGTATCCCAATGAATACCTTGATCACAGGTGAAGAGCATCATCCACCACCTTTACTTCACCGAACGCCTCGAGTCACCCAGGAAGAACCGATTTCCAGAGCGCTTCATGGATGACATCACAGCGCTGGTCAGCACCATCGCTGGGGACATTGTGTCTCGATTCCAGAAGGTAACTAATGAGCCAATCAAATATCTATCCAGGCATCAGAGGGTTCCCAAAGGGGACGTAATCTGACATGTAAAGTCAGATATTGTGGAACTATAGAGACTAAGTGCAAGAGATGCTCCATATTGTCCCATTTGTTTTTCATTGGCCTACACAATCTGCTAAAGAAGAAATCATCTTCATCTTCAACCCTGGGAAATTTTAAGACCTTGTTTTTTATTAATTCAGGACCTGGAGCTTGTGGAGAGACTAAACACGAGTCTGGCCTTCTTTCTCAATGACTTACTGTCAGTGATGGACCGAGGCTTTGTCTTCACCCTCATCAGGGCATACTGGAAACAGGTACATTTCTTAATTCCTCTCATATATTAATTTTAACACTGTTTTTATGATACATGATAATGAACTTCTAGCAAGAACTGAGAGAAGAGAAAGCAGATGTGTACTGCAGACGTGTGTCAAATATAATATACTCCTCATAAAAAAAATCAAGATTTCAATTTAGTTCCTTTCAGTGTGTGTATATATATTCATGCTGAGTTTTGTGTTCAATTTAAGATTTTAAAGTAAAATTCTGCACAGCACTAAGAATATTTTAAAGACTATTGAGTGATATTGCAAAAGTTCTGTTGTTTTAAGGGCAAATATATAATTTACATTTTTTCGATTCATTTTTCAGTTTTAGAAATATATATATTAATTGTTTCTTCTCTCCAGGTGTCCACAAAGCTTTACACTCTGCAGAATCCCAACCTGGAGTCTTTGAGGCTTGATTTCTTGAGAATCATTTGCAGCCATGAACACTATGTCACCCTCAACCTGCCCTGCAGCCTGCTGACACCGCCTGCCTCACCTTCCCCCTCCGTCTCCTCAGCAACTTCACAGGTGAGACAGAAAGAAATGGAGAGAAGTTGTACATCATCATTGTTGTCGCTAGTCTTTAACATTCTCAAATAAAATGACAGAAAGAGGGCTGGTTTTAGTAAGAATAAAAATATTCACCAATTAAAATGTTAAAGATATAATGTCTAACAATTCTTCTTTAAAATATCTAAAATATCTTGTATATTTTGTCGACTTGTGGACTTACAAATGTTTCCAACAATGTTCAAACCCAGAAAATCCAACATTTTAACGAGAAATTTAATTTTGGTTGCCTTCTATTTGCAACCGGCTATAACTAGAACAAACGACATACGACAGAGGAAAAACAAATATTGTACCTTGAATGGCCGTCTTGATTTAATATTGTCTGTGACTTCTCTTATTCGTCACAGAGCTCTGGGTTCTCCACACATGTCCAGGACCAGAAGATAGCCAACATGTTTGAGCTGTCTGTCCCCTTCAGAGAGCAACACTATCTGGCTGGACTGGTGCTCTCAGAACTGTCTGTGATACTGGACCCAGACAATGAGGGGTTAGTATGTTTTGGATCCTAACCTCACACAAGAGAAGTTCTGGTATGAGCTTTAGGATCAGAATACATGTCACTTAAATTGATGGGTGTCATCGTGTCTGAATGTGATAAATAAACTTTGTATTGAGAAAGGAAAGAGATTTTTTAAAGCCTCTGAATCTGTTGGAGAGAGATAAGTCTGCATGCATAGTGACTTGTAAATAAGTGAATGGGAGTGAGTTATGGTTGTAGAGCCCTATCTTAATGTGAACAGCTTCTCATTCTCTCTCACCCACTGTCCTTTTTAATACAGATTAGATATTTCATCTCTTGTCCTTAATTTCTTTTTTACTTTTCACGACAGGATGTTTGGCCTACATAAAAAAGTGGTGAGTGTCGTCCATAACCTCCTGTCCAGCCACGACTCCGACCCACGCTATGCAGATCCAGAGGTCAAGGCCCGGGTCGCCATGCTTTACTTGCCTCTGATTGGTATCATCATGGAAACGCTACCACAGCTCCATGACTTTACAGGTAAAGATTAGGAGCAATACTGAACATGTTAAAAAGGTTTCTTTATCCTCATCTATGAGTTGCATTGTGAGTATAGCTTTTAATTTGCCACTCTTTCGGTCTGGTGTGATATTATTTTCCCTCCTTTTTGTGCCACTAGAGTCCCATAACCAGTGGGGTCGACCAGGATGTCCCCAGGGGGCAGCGGTAGGCAGCACTGGAGAGGAGGCGGAAGGAGAGGGTAACAGTATAATCAGCCAGACTGTTGCCATGGCGATAGCAGGCACTTCCACCCCCTCACCGATGTCCCGACCAAGCAGCTTCCTGCTCAACTCGCAGGTAAATCGCTGTCTCTGATGGGTTGTATGTAAGACGCTGCGAAGCTGTATATTTGTACATCTCAAACGTTTTATTAATTATCGACTCCTGTTTTTTTTCTCTAGGCGAGTCGTCAGCACGGAAGCTTCTCGGCCGAATCAAGTCGTAGTCTGCTCATCTGTCTGCTGTGGGTGCTGAAGAACGCAGACGAGCTGGTGTTGCAGAAGTGGTTCACAGACCTGTCGGTGTCTCAGCTCAACCGCCTTCTGGACCTTCTCCACCTCTGTGTCTCCTGCTTCGAATACAAGGTAACATCTATAGACGCTCACTAATCGATGGAAAAGATGGACCTATCAAACACTGTATTTGTCAGGGACACAGAGAGGCTTAGTGCATCTGCAGTACAGAGTATTCTCACCTGTAATGTTGTATCTTCTTTTATATTCAAACAAATAGAGAATCCTTTAAGCTGATATAATACTTAACACTAGAGATGTTTCAATACCATTTTTCACACAAGCTCACTACTTTCTCTGCCACAATCGGTGTTAATCCTTCACTTACTTGCTATCCCTAGCTCCTTCTGCTTTGCTAGTCGTTTGGTGTTTGCTTTGCAGTGCTCGCACATTTGCTCTGGTGCTTCTAACCTGCTTTGCTTGCTGAGTGCCATGCCGCTAATAACTTCCTTGCTTCCCTGCATTTTCTGTCCGTTCACTCACCCTCCACCTTATGGATACAAGGCCCATGTTGTGTTCACCATGCAGGGGAAGAAAGCGTTTGAACGAATGAACAGCCTGACCTTTAAGAAGTCCAAAGACATGAAGGCCAAGCTGGAAGAGGCCATACTGGGCAGCATCGGGGCCAGACAGGAGATGGTGCGACGCAGCCGTGGACAGCTTGGTGAGAGGGCACACCCTCCAGACATGCACATACACAGTGAACCATATTTAAATAAATGCGAAGAATACAAAGATCCTTAACTGAGAAGATAATTTGTGAGTCACACAAGTTGATATAATCACAATTAAATCAATTAATTCTGTTTTTCACCCTTCACATATGCATAAACACAATGCACATACATGCAACCTTTTTTCTGAGCAAACCCAATTTTTTTCACCACTATTGAAAAAACAAATTTCCCCATTGTTTAGAGCGGAGTCCATCTGGCAGTGCTTTTGGCAGTCAGGAGAACCTTCGATGGAGGAAGGACATGACCCACTGGAGACAAAACAGCGAGAGGATGGACAAGTACGCTCTTTTTAACGCTTAAACTCTCTCAGGATTCTGACTTTATGTAACAGCTTAAATGACCACAAAGAAACCTCAGCTAAATATTTTCTGAAGATGTTTTGTGTTTTTGAAGAAACACAGATCATTTTTTGGTGCGTAAACTTTTGCAGCACTTGCAGAAAATTTGTTTTAAAATTCCCCATTGACTCTTTGGCTCCACATTTGCATAAATTAATAATCAATAATCCATTTTTAATTCGACTCAATCATTAAGAAGATGTGAAAATGATCCTTCATTAATCCTTTGACTGAATATCTCTGTCACATCTGTCTTGTAATATACATCACGTCATCACAGCCCATTCATTTCTCATTGTTTTTTTAATGTTTTGCTGGATTTACATAGGAACAGAATCAGACTGATTATAAAATGTTAGAATTTCCACATTTGACCATTAATTGCAGATTTTTAAGCTTTTTCTTCTTACGTATTTTGTCAAATAATGACAAAAGCCATGATTTTTTTTTTTAAATCTAAAATGTTTGTTATCTTTTCTTTTGTAAATTCAGCTCCAGCCTTTGTTTTCTGTTAATTCCCATTTGTTCTCTCATGTCGCTGTGTGTTTATGTAGGAGTCACAGATCAGTCAGGTATTGTATGCTCCACATTTGCTGTGTGCTCCTTTTGAACCCCCCCTCTGCTTAAGTTCCTGGTTTACTGTGTATTTTCATGCATGTGGAAAGAAAGTTGAAATGGACAAGAAGTTAATGAAGTTTTTGAATTAGATTTCCTTCTGATGAACTTGGCTTTGAACAAGTTATAGAAAAACTATCTCCGTATTGTTTTTATTGAGCCACTGGTGCAGCAGTGTTACAAATTAATTTCTTTTCCATTTTAACTGTCTTAAGTCTACACATGCATTGAAAATGCACCGACAGACACCCCCCTGATCCTGGTTCTGACCCTTGAACCCCCCCTTCCCCTCTCGTCCCATCAGCCCCTCTGTCCCGGTAACCGTGTCTGTCTCAGGGTTGGTAGTGGTTGCAGTGGGTCTGTTTTTGCTCTTTTAACCAGTGTGCTTCTTGTTTTTTGGGATTCTGACTCGTGTGTCTCTCTGGTTGCTGCTGGAGCAAAAAAAAAAACAAGACAATTCTAGCTGTAGCCATTGTTTGTCATCTGTTATTTGTATAACATGAAAGGGAGATTCCAAATTAAGCCTAAAGGTATAGTCCTGGTGTAAACGATATTTAAAAGCAGCTAGCTGTACAACATTTAACCCTAGTGTTCCATGTACAGACACCAGCTAAGCTAATCGCTGACTTAAAACCATAGACGTTATATAAAGATGGACTTCATGACTGCTCCGCAAAAGTGAAGCCAAAGCATCCCGATCGCCCCCTGGTGTCTGGCTCCTGTGTAGGTCATAAATCCTGCCTTCTCCATGTTAATGGATGAGGGATGCACCACACTAAGTACACGCCAAACTGATTTCTCGTCTGCTCCACAATAGCTACTGTGCAGCAAGGCGTGCACAAGTTAGGGACGTTCATATACAGGGTGTTACGCTTCAGTTCTGGACAGCAGGAGGAAATGGAAGCTTTGTTCATCTTTATATACATAATATAATACAAACAAATTATATTAATTATAAATAATCTCTCTGCTTGTGTTGTATATATACTGTATTAAAAGGGAGGACTGACTGAGGTCCTCCTCAGCTCATACCGTACATCTTTCTTCCATTCAAATACTTTTACACTGTTCATGATTATGGGCAGTGGCTTGAATTTGGTGAGAGGAAACTCATCATCGTTCAAGGATAAATCAGTAGCATCGCTTTTTTCAGTTGGTAATGATTTAGTTTAATGTTGTCATCTGCTTCATAATTGTAGGACCAGGGCAGAGCTGGAGCATGAAGCACTTATTGATGGAAACCTTGCAACAGAGGCCAACCTAATTATTCTTGACACATTGGAGATCATTGTACAGGTATACAAGATACAAGCATGCAAAAAATCTGTCATCAGTGTTGTAGTCATGAGCATAGATTAACCCAGACTGTATATGTGTCCCTCTTCCTCCAGACGGTTTCGGTGACTGAGTCCAAGGAGAGCATCTTGGGTGGGGTGCTGAAGGTGTTGCTGCACAGCATGGCCTGCAACCAGAGCGCCCTCTACCTCCAGCACTGCTTTGCCACACAGAGGGCACTGGTGTCTAAGGTTAGACCGCTGGACTGTCATGTTGTGCTTTATTTAATTTCATTGTAACAGTTTCTCACAGGACTCTTGCAAATGTTTGCATATTTCTCTCTGCTTGCGTAGTTTCCTGAGCTGCTGTTCGAGGAGGAGACGGAGCAGTGCGCTGACTTGTGCTTGAGACTCCTGAGGAGCTGCAGCAGCAGCATAAGCACCATCAGGGCCCACGCCAGCGCCTCTCTCTACCTCCTCATGAGGCAAAACTTTGAAATAGGCAATGTGAGTACAAAAGTAAACATTTACAACCAGTTGTTTAACTTTCATAGCACTGCTAATGTGTATCTGCGGAGGAAGTCGAGAACCAGAGTCTCTACCTCACATTCTTCCAGAAGTAACCTCCTCTGCACAAGCACATTTAGAGAGAAGCCTGTTCAGAGTGATCCGATTACTTTTTATAAAGACTGCTATTAAAATCAAATCAGTTCATATGAATAACAAACTTATTGTAAGTTGGCCAGTTCTCAGCTACTGTCTTGTATCAATTTATTACTATTTTCTTTCACTTTCCATCACCAATATAATACAAACCTAAACACTGCAATCATTCACCCAATTTAGGCCCAATTACTCGTGCATGCATCATTTCCTGTGTTCTAGTTCAGCCAGACTTTACACACAGACCTTAAGAAAGGAGGTTATAAGGGAGAAGGGACGTCTGCTCTGCACAGTTTCTTTAGTCGGTCTTGACGAAATATCGATTGTTCAATTCTTGCTTGTCTTTGTCGTCCCTTTTTCAGAATTTTGCAAGAGTAAAGATGCAGGTGACCATGTCTCTTTCCTCGCTCGTGGGAACATCTCAGAATTTTAATGAGGAGTTCCTGCGTCGCTCTCTAAAGACCATCCTTACATACGCAGAGGAGGACCTGGAGCTGAGGGAGACCACATTTCCAGACCAGGTACCGCTGCATCCCTCGACCTTGATTTTATTTTCTGAATTTATTGATTTTTATTTTTCATTACTCCACTACACCTCTCTAACTCACTGTCTCTCATTCTTATTTGTATTATTTTTTCAGGTCCAGGACCTTGTGTTTAACCTGCACATGATCCTCTCTGACACAGTGAAGATGAAGGAGCACCAGGAAGATCCTGAGATGCTGATAGATCTCATGTACAGGTACTGAATACATTTACACTCAAAACTGCCTTTTTGATTACATACATGTGTCTGCAGTATGATCAATGTTATTTTGTTATTTGTACACCTTAAAATCTGTGTCTTTGAATCCAGGATTGCGAAGGGCTACCAGACCTCTCCAGACTTGCGACTGACATGGCTCCAGAACATGGCTGGAAAACACTCTGAGAGGAATAACCACGCCGAGGCTGCACAGTGTCTTGTGCACAGCGCTGCTCTGGTTGCAGAATACCTGAGCATGCTGGAGGACCGCAAGTATCTGCCTGTGGGCTGTGTCACCTTCCAGGTCAGGACATTTCTAGTTATAATGTTTGTACATAAGCCTATCCCCTAGAATAGGCTTAGAATAGGCTTATGTACATAACTACTTAGTTCAAGAAATGTTTCAATAAGGTGTTTGTTTGTATTCGCATCACAGAACATTTCCTCCAACGTGCTGGAGGAATCCGCAGTCTCTGATGACGTGGTGTCACCGGATGAAGAGGGCATTTGCTCAGGAAAGTACTTCACTGAGATCGGTCTGGTCGGACTCCTGGAGCAGGCTGCTGCCTCCTTCTCCATGGTAAGAAGTGGAGGTGGAGTAGAATTTAGAAGGTTGGATGCTGAGATGGTTTGGAGCTCGTTGCTTCGCTCTTCTCTTTCACAAAATGAAAGAATTTAATTGTTTATCAATTTTTTATTCCAATAAAATTACTTCATTATTAGTTGTTGTATTAAGTGGATATTGATATGTATATTTTTATAAACATTGAATTTATTAATTCCAAATCTTCTCAGTCAAGGTTTTTTTCAAATTTAAATTGTAACCTACAATATTTCAGCCCAAGGTGTTGACATGTTGCACTGCACTAACATTTGTCCTGCTCTTGTTTCCAGGCTGGAATGTATGAAGCAGTAAACGAAGTATACAAGGTACTGATCCCCGTCCATGAAGCCAACAGGGATGCAAAAAAGCTGTCTACCATTCATGGTAAACTACAGGAAGCCTTTGGGAAAATAGTTCACCAGGTAAACACACACACTCACGCACACACACACACGGTGTAGATCTCCTCTTTCACTCCAGGTTCCAGTAGCTTTTTTTGTAAAATTGCTGCTGGATTTTTACCAGAAACAGAGAAATTGGACAGCACGCTCCAAGATGATCAAAACCTCAAAACTGTACTCACACATCCACATGAATAGTTTGCACAGTTGCATTTTCATCAAAAACATTAACGTCACATTTACAAGGCAGCGTAGACAGAGGAAAAACCAGATGGGATTTAAATGAGTGAAATGAGACAGGAGCACGGTCAAGTAACATAATGAGGTACAAAGAGCAACAACAAACATGAAAACTTCACCATAAAGGAAATAACCTGGATGTCGAGATGGATGTTGCCTTTACACACAAAGACACAGCTCTGCATGGGTTCATTACTGCCATCTTGATTCTACTGTATTTATATCTGTATTCATATACTTTGCATGCTGTGAAGTATGAATCTAAGGATGCATGAGGTGGGGAAACGACTCCTGACAGTGTGGGCTGGGTTACAGTCGTCTGGTGTGCAGACCAACGGCTCTCAAACTCATAAAAGGGAAAAATCTCAAAATATATTTTTGATATCTTGAGATTGCTGTGTGTCGTGCCACACTGGAAGTGTGTGTGCGAGGGGGGTGTTTGTGTGTTTTTGTTCACATGTCCTGTATTCTCTTTGTCACACAGAGTACTGGCTGGGAGGTAGGTGTATTATCGGTTCCCGCTTGGCCCTGCTCACGTTTTGTTTTTTTGTATTTCCATTTTTATTTACACTCATCTTTTTATTTGCCAGCAGTGGGCACTCTGTCACTCTCTTCGCTTTGTTACATACATCCACTCCATTAACACCTACAGACAATGTCATCTGTCTGCCCCCACGGGGGAAACTTGCCGTAGCAGCAGCAAGACCTGTTTTCCTCTCACCTTCCTCCTCTGAGCATGAGGAGCTTGTTTTTTTACGTGACTGTTGTCAGGCTGTGCATGGGAGCCACAGTGTGTGACACTAAGTCTCAGTGAATGCATCACTCGCACAATCCGCACTTTTCCCCCATCTTCATCTCCTGTCTGTCTGTTGGCGTGTCATTGACTGGCACTGCCGACTGTCACACTTCATCTCATCTTCAACCACAGGGCTCGATTTCAGTGCACTGTTTCTAGCTGAAGGGTATCTGTTAGCCTCCCTGCTCTTGGCATGGATCATTCTTTCCTACGCACAATTGGATGATCATTTCCAAACACAAGGTGTTGTAAACTTGCATTGGGTCGAAGCTACAATCAAAATTCCAGAGGCAGTGATTTTTTTTTTTATCCCAAGAGGGTTCATCTCAAGATTTCTTGATTTATCCCTTTTGATTTGGATTAGTTTGTATTGTTGCCCTTTCTTTTTAATAGCTCAAACTAAATCGACCCCTGATTTATTTTTCATCCATTCTGTTCTTTTGTTAACAGTATTAACCCCAGAGTTTCATGTTTTGTTGCATGAATTGAAAAGAACGCCTCCTTGTTTCTTTTTGCGAATGCACTGCAGGTGCATGGTGTGTTTCTGAAGGTTGTGGATCTTTATTTGCTCACTTTCTTTCTCTTGTAACCTTTGCATGGTCCAGATCCTGCACAATGAGTTAATGTTCTTTTTCACAATAGAGATACGTTTGCTGTTGTGTGTTAGTTTGTGTTGTTTTTGAAATTCTCTGGACGAACCCAATCCTGATTAAAATTTGTTCTGTTTTCTCCTTTTTGATTTCCCTGGTTGCCGACCCTTCCTTCCCACTTAACTTAATTGTGTCTTGTGGTAAGTTCCTTAGATTTCAGGGCTTCTTAAATTACTGCTTAAATTTCTTTTGAACATTTTTTGGAAGGTTTGCCCTAAACCTTGTGGAAGGGTTTAATTATCTTTGACAAGAAATTGTCCTCAGCTTGCCCATGTCTCAGCCGCACACACACACACACACACCTGGGGTGTACCAAGCCCGGAGCAGACACCCAGGGAAACATGCTCCGCTGCCCCAGGCAGAGCGCACAGAGCTGGGGCACAGCAGCGCACTGCCAACCGAATCGAGCCAAACCGAGCGCATGTGTGAATAACAAACTCTGAAGGAAGTCTGTTCCTAATTGTGCAGAGTTCATGTCTTAAAATATTTGAAGGGTAGTGTCCCATCATTGAATGTCCATTCCTTCTAATTTAGGCATCAGCTTTTCTCCAAAGAGAAAAAGTCCAAAGATTATTAGCACTTTCTCCGGTGTCTTCATGTGTGAAGGAAAATGTGGGAGTGAGAGCCTCCAGATTATCTACGAGCGGAGGATTTGTCGCTTTCGTGAACGGAAAAGTGTCTGTGCAGAGAACCTCACATGCACTTTCACTGTGTTGTGCATGTGTGAAAAGCAAACTCAGTTCTCCAGACTTTATCCGCAGGTCATGTCTTAAAAGGGCTTCATTGTTTCTTTTGTTCAGCTTTCACTGTGGCTGCGATACGAAGTTCAGAAAAACATCTTTCAGATTGAATAATGTGCCATTTACACCTATTTGCTTTACTTAATTGAGCCATTTAGATATTCTGCTCTCATGTAAAGGAGGCTGAACAGCCTGTTTATAGTTGGATCTGTTTGTCGGGTGTTTTGAGGGGACACACTGCACCTGTCTGTCCTTTATCTACTCTACAGTTTTAGAAGAGAAATATCAGCCTTGTAAGAAAGTGGCTCTTTTGCCGTGGATGTAAATATGTGGAGTCTGTTTCTTCCTGTGAGACTATTGACTGGATGGAAATCCGAAGTTGGTTGAGCTCCTTGTGACACTTAATTTCCATCAACGTTTCTCGAAACACTTGTTTTCACTGTTGCAACGCGTTGAGCAGAGTAAGAAACATGTTTATCAATAGGATATAACCAAGGACTTATCATAGTCTGTATATTAAGATGGACGACGTGTCTCCTCTTCCTCTTATTATATCCTGGACACAGGTGCCACCATCTTGCATTTTTCATGTAATTTGGAGTCAGAGTATCTAGCTAACCAATAAGGAGGCGGAGTTTATGACCTGTATTGCAGCCAGCCACCAGGGGGTGATCAAGACGATTTGGCTTCAATTTCGGGGTCGTCCATCTTTATATACAATCTATCTGATCTATGTTAATTATATTTTCAGATTATGACACTCGCTGTTGCACCTGGTATTTGTTTGAATGATCTGCAGCTCTTTCTCTCTTCCTTTAGTTCTCTGTATGACGGTGAACTGAAGTTTATGGTTTTCACCGTGTCTGATTTGAACGATGACTTTTCATACCTCCGAGTTTTTTATTTTGACTGCTTTTCAATCTTGATTTTTTTTTAAAACCTGACGTACTTGATATTAGTTTAACTCCTTGATTAATTCCGGGACTAATATTTATTTTCCTCTGCTCGCAGGATGGGAAGAGGATGTTTGGTACGTACTTCAGAGTCGGGTTTTACGGTTCAAAATTTGGCGACTTAGACGAGCAGGAGTTTGTGTACAAAGAGCCCGCCATCACGAAGCTGGCAGAGATCTCTCACAGGCTTGAGGTAAATACCTGGAATAACATTATAACATAATATATGTGGCGGTAAAAGCTGTTATTTGTAAGTTATGTGATGTTCTGATAATATTTCGCCAGACTCCAAATAAATGTTTCAATTCCACATTTCTAATTCACACATTTAAAATTCAAATAAGCTTTACCTGTTCGATGTGTGTTCAAGTCTTATATCAAAACTTAACGAGGCCTTGTGCTGCATTTGCTCTCAGGGTTTCTATGGGGAGCGATTTGGAGAGGACCAGGTAGAAGTCATTAAAGACTCCAACCCAGTGGACAAGTGCAAGCTGGATCCAAATAAGGTTTGTGTCAGCAGATAGTGATTTCACCTGAGCGGTGATATCTAATAAAACAAGTTGTGAAAATGTTTGGATGTCAGACCTACTATGACTCTAAAAATGTTACTCTAATAAAGTAAATGAATATAAAGTTTATTTTAAATGGAATTTAGTTTCCTGGAAGCGTGACCTAAAAATGAAACCATCTCTCTTCCTGCAGGCATTTGTCCAGATCACGTATGTGGAGCCGTACTTCGACACGTACGAGATGAAGGACCGCATCACCTACTTTGACAAGAACTACAACCTGCGGCGTTTCGTGTACTGCACGCCCTTCACCCTGGATGGGCGGGCGCACGGGGATCTGCACGAGCAGTTCAAACGCAAGACCATCCTCACCACCTCCCACGCCTTCCCTTACATCAAGACACGGATCAACATCATCCACAAAGAGGAGGCAAGTGAATGTTTATCAGCTGGTTCTCAGAAATACTATTTTTATTTAGTTTTTTACATCATAAAAACATCACTCGTGTGAATGGAGAGGGTGAAGTGAGGGAGCAGCTCGTCCAATCTTGTTGTTAACTTTTCAGATTATTTCCACACCCATCGAGGTGGCGATAGAGGACATGCAGAAGAAGACTCAAGAGCTGGCCTTTGCCACCCATCAGGACCCTGCTGATGCCAAGATGCTGCAGATGGTTCTGCAGGGATCAGTTGGTACAACGGTCAACCAGGTGAAGTTTCCAGATGCCAGTTTTGTCTGACAAGAAATATATTCCTGAGTTCCAAAAGTAACGAATGCTAGTCTGTAGGTGACCGATCAGAGTCTCTGTTCTTTTTCTGCTCAGGGTCCTTTGGAGGTGGCTCAGGTTTTCCTGTCAGAAATCCCCAGTGACCCCAAACTGTACAGACACCACAACAAGCTTCGGCTCTGCTTCAAAGACTTCACCAAGAGGTACAAACTGTGGTGATGTGATGTAACAGTCTATCATCTCAAAGAGGACGTGTTCTGTATCTGAACATAATGATAACATTTACTAATGAACTAATTAGGAGGGTTTTCTCAGGAGTTGACAGAATTGCCAGTGGTTACAAAAAAACTAAAGTTTTCAGCCTCTGATGAGGAGCGAGACGTGAAATACAAAAACTCTTGAAAACTCTTGAGCTTAAATATTTGACTTTCAATGTAAATCTTCTACCTAAACTTTGTGAATTAAAAAAAAACCTTCTGAGATTGCCCCCTTCTTTAAAATATCTAGAAATGTAACTAGTTGAAACCTTCAACGTGAGAAAATGCCAAAGTAAGTTTGCCCCAAAACAATCTGAAGAGCAAAGATTCTCCTTCAATCAACCATTTTTTGGCATCTTACCTTCAGTGTACGTGAGAATCTATGAGGCCGAGGTATTTGATGGTTTTCTTTGCCAAAGGTGTGAAGATGCCCTGCGGAAAAACAAGAGCCTGATTGGTGCGGACCAGAAGGAGTACCAGAGAGAGCTGGAGAGGAATTACCACCGGCTGAAGGAGGCGCTGCAGCCGCTCATCAACAGAAAGATCCCTCAGCTTTATAAACCTGTACTGCAGGTCAACTCGCACAGGTACGGCTGAGCGTGACTGAACTTTGTCTGAGTGTGTGTGTGTGTGTTTGTACAGCTGTCTGTGTTTAGCCTTTAACCTATGGAGTGAGGACATTTTTGTCAAAGTGAGGACATTTTGGCCGGTCCTCACTTTGTGACCCCCCCTTTAATGCATTATGCCAATGAGTGTCCTCACTAAGACAGCTGCACAAACGTGTGTGTGTAGATTATGTTTTGGATGTTGATTTAAACCCGTCTTTGTTATTGCTTTTATAAAATCATGCAGCAAACGGACAGCTTGACAAGGTAGTTTGACACATTTTGAGATGTTCATTTTCCGTTTCTATCATTCATACGCTTTCTTGTTTTATTGAATTTCTCGGATACAAGGGAATTTTTTTTAGATATGTACTTAAAAAAGAAAATTTGATCTGCGGATGTGTACTTCTGCTATCTTCTTAGGAGGAATTAGCCTCTGGGGCTGGCAGCCAATATTTGGGGGCTTCTGGTGTAGATGTAACCCTTCACTCGTGTCACTATAGTTACCACAAACCACCACGTGGGGGCGCACATATTACACAGACGAAGGGAGCCTTGCAAAGACAAAAGATGTTGAACTCATTCCTACAGAAATAATATATATATATATATATACACACACTGAATTAAAAAAAAAAGGAATTTTGAAATTCTGTATTTTCACTTGCAGAATTTGATTATTCAGAACACTGTACAACCTGACCCCTTATGGATCTACATTCAAACTCACTAGATCTGAAATTTTTTATTTCAATCTGCACAACATTTCTCATCCATCAGTTCCCAAAATATGGAAATTAAGATCCAAGAATTATTCTTATTATATGATATTTATGAAAATGTTTAAAAAGTAAAAAAAACTAAAAACTTTTGTCCAGGAAATCCGCTCTGTAATTTCTGCGTAATCCTGCTGAAAAACAAACAAACCAATTTACAGGGGGAAACAGAACCTCTTGGGGAGAGTAATTAAAGTACACCAACTTAATTTTGAAGAATTTAGCAAAAAATAAAAGTATAATAGTCACAATTTCTATTAAACTTTGGGGGAAAGTAAATCTCCAGGTCGACATTTCTCTCTGAATTTGTTCAAAGGTTCTAATTAGATTTTGTGAAAGGCTGTAGTAGATGGAAGAAAGATTATTAAGATACAAGTCCAGTGAATTCTTCCGTTAGTTTTTTGTTGTTTGGTGAAAAGACCAGATTTGAGACTTGAGAGTTGAAAATCTGATCTTTTTGCTTGTGTAAATAAGAAAACTTCTTATGTCTGTATTTTTCTTTCCGCAGAGATTCCTTCAGCAGAATGAGTCTTCGTAAGCTTGACATCTGAAGATGAAGAGAACACACACACACACACACACACACATATACACATTCTTACACACACACACACACACACACACAAATTGCAATATTTATTTATTCTCAAGTGTAAATAGGAGTGTCTCTTCAAACTTGGTTGGTGTTTCTGAGACGGAGCTGAAAAGCTAAAGGTGTTGCAGCTCGGTACGTCATTCCAGTGTCTTAATTTGTTTACAGAGAAACTGTTACACAATCAGAGGAACGGACCGGTGGTTCTTAAAGTTTAAAGGGATACCTTGGCATTTAGATTTTTCTGTGCAGACCATTTGTTACAGTGGGGAACAAATGTTTATATTTTCCGTATGCTACCTTAAGAGAACGCTAATAATGTGAGCCTTCACTCTTGAAACCAACAGAATCTGCTCGGACAAACCACAGAATACAAAGAATGAGATCCCATTATTGGTCAAAGTGCCAAAAAAACCCTTTTATTTCCCGCCAAATTTTAACAAGTGACTGTAGATATGGTACGATTTTAAAAGTCAAGGTGTCTTTTTAATGATGTGTCAAAAAAAATCTGTATTCAATTTCATGTGTGCACTTTTATCACAGTGTAGCAATGCATTTTACAACTTGAAAGTTTATGTAATTCAAAACGTGGGGGAGGGGAGGAAAAAAATGAAAACATGCAAAAAATTCTACTATTATTTATCATAATGCTTTATTACAATTTTTAGTTGAAGCGACAATATTTTAAAGTTCGGTACTTTAAACATCCCTGTATAATTTTATGTAGTTCTTTTTGTTTATTTTAAATATTTTACTAAATAAATATTTTAATGTTCAGTCTTTGTGCGCTTCTTTTAATTCCTGTTTATGCAGGATTGAGGGGTTTAGAGTTGGGGAAAGATCAAAACTTCTAAAAGAGAAAAGAAATGACAAAAAGGCCATAAACATCATTTTTGAGGCCATTTTGCTACTGAAATCAAAATGAATCCTTGACTCCGAGAGAATGAAGTGATGATATTAATGGTGGTGGTGGTGACAGCAGCTCAGTTGTCCAGCTGGCAGAGCATGGCCACACCGCGCTTGATCCAGTGCTGAGGGGGTGTGCTGGTGGGCAGCGTCATGGAAATGACGAAGTTGGTGGAGTGGCCTGTGGTGGAGAGGGTTCCCCTCCTCTCACTGGTCTTGTAGAGAGGGCAGACGTAGAGTTTCTGAGGGTCATCGGTTTTGTTTTTAGCTGAGGGACAAAAAATGATTAGTAACCAATTAACAAAATGAGATTTGAAAGAAACACATGAAACCCTGAACGTCTGAATACATACTGAGCTTGATCCAGATGATGGGCATCGTGTCGAACAGGACTTTGGGAAGCTGCTCATCCAGAACTCCACTGATGATAGAGACAAACGACAGTTAAGATTCATCAATTCTCTTCGTATCTCTCGATTTACATGATATACAGTAATTATTATTCTAAATATAGAAAACGTATGCATGAACCTGTCTTTGTCCCATCGCGCTCCATCCAGAAACAATCCATTGATGTAAACTCCGTCCTCAGGTGACGTGTCGGACTCACAGATGGGAAGAACCTGTGAGGTCATGGAAACAAAACCGCTTGTTAGCACCTTCTTAGGAATGAGATCAGATCTTTGAGTCGGAGAAGAAACCATCAGTAAGTGTGTGTCATCTAACCTCAAAATCGAAACTGAGCAGGTCAATGGGGACTTGGTATTTCCTGGCATAGTTCTGCATAGCCCCGGTAAGGAAGGCCTGCGTGAAGAAGAATCCGGAAAGCCAGAACACGTTGGGTTTGCCGTTGTCGTACCAATCCTGCAAAAACTTCAGCCTTGAGAGAAAGTCAGTGATGTAGCTGCCCAAGGGTTTGAGGCTCGGGTACGAGCGCTTGGCCCACTGCTCTGGGAGCTTGCCCACAGCCAGACTGCTGGCAATGGCCTCCAGCTCTGCGTCCATCACCACCAGACCCTTGAGGGCCTTCAGCAGGTTCCGCAGACTCTGACGGATCACACTGCACAGCCTAACGTAGAAAAACAAAAAAAAGTAATCAAGTCATGTTTGATAAACAGTGATGTGTTGTTCTTCATGAACTTCTGACACGGAGCTGTTTCAACATACGTGTTGTAGCGCTCCATCTCCTGGACGAGGACAGTGTTCATGCTCTCCTCGTAGAGCACCGGGAACTTCGACAGGGCCGCCTCTGTGTCAAAATTACTCGGCAGCTGTGGGGAGCAAACATTAACAGGTGTCCGTGAGCATGACCACTAACATGGCGAACAATTTCTACATACGGAGGACATCGTCTTCATCTTATTATCTTTGTCGTATCATTCAAACCTTGGTAAGGATATCCTCTGCGATCTCGTAGAGTGCGTTTTCGTTCCCAGAGCTAGCTCCTCCTTTGGTGCCACCACCCTGGGTGAGCAGCAGGGAATCGAACAGCAACTTTGTCTGCTGGAGATCTTTGGAAATGTCTACGTTGTCATGCATTCCAAACACTTCTGGCTGCTGGCCGGTTGGAAGCTCCTAGAACACAGGAGTGTGAGGTTAGGTATTGTTACTCAGTTGGCTGGACACTGCAGTTTTTGTAGAAATTAAATAAACACGTATTTGAATGAATCCAGTGGTTTTACCTGGATGTATTTGACGTAGCCATTATAGTCAGATGCTGGTGGGGCAAAATAATTTCTACTAGGTGAGAAAGAGTAGTTAGGGTCCGTAATGACATCATTGTTGTAGAAGTCTGCCAACATGGTCACCAGGAGACGCCTATCCCAGTCGTCTGTCACACGGCCACCGTAGTTACACTCCCCGGTCAAATACTTGATGGCCTCGAAGGGCACCTCTTTGTATTCATTCACAAACAGCTGAAACAGAAAATAATATTTGTTGTAATAGCAGAGACTGAATCTGAACGTCGTTCGGCCCTATGAGGTGAATTTGATGTGACGTGAATACCTGTAGCTGCCTGATGCTGATATGGAGGTCTGACTCGTTGAAGCCGTAGGGAATGTTCCAGCCCAGTGGACCAAACTTCTTCCGCTCTTGAACAAGTGCATGGAAGAAGCACAGTCCGTACAGGAGCTTCCCCCAGGTCTGAAAGAGAAATCCAAGAGTCAGAGAATAGCCTTCGCCTGATAGACACAATGAAAGAAGAAATGCAAACTCCTGTTGTATATAAAATGACCCTCAGCTCACCCCCTGCTTCGTTGAAGAACAGAAGAACTCGGGGTCAGAAAGAGGATCCGTCAAGTACGACTGAAGCAGGTTGAGCTTCAGTCCTGTAGGAGGCTCGTTCGTCATTTTCACTCCATTCTGCAGGATGGTCACTGGAAACTGAAACCAGACAGAAGGTATTTCTTTAGGACTCCACTCAGATGAAATCTCTATATTGCTTCTTAATGTTCAGAATGAAATGCACAGTGTTTACCTTGGGTGAAGGGTAGCTGGTGAGCCACAGGCGGAAGTCACGATGGCAAGTTGACGAACTGAAGTCCTCGCAGATTTTCTCCAGGGTGGACATCCAGGAAACAGCCAGATGGCAATTCTGTAAACACACCCACGCCCCCTGCTCCATGGCTGTGGAGATCATCTCAGCCGCGATGGGGCCCTGGCCCTGACCAAGAGAGATGCACTGGAACTTGTTACCGACCATGTCCTTTTGAGTGGCAAACTTAATTAAGCCTGTGGAGAGATTTTTCGGGTTTAGCATTATATGAAAGCATGATATATTTAAGAAATCAACTTTGAGGCCATCTTTGGTAAAGTCCGACTTACTGGCCATGGGATCCGCTCCTGGAGACAACACAAATACGAGCGGGATGGTGGAGTTGGAGTCCTTGTAACTCTTGCTCAGGTCGAAGGGAGGTGGTTGCACATATTTCTTCCCCAGTTCGCCAGCTACATATTTGGTTACAGCTGGCACCATTTTATCAGGACGGAGACATCGAACAATGATCATTTTCTGCAGGTCGTTGAGTTGATCACACCATGGTGCAGGCAGGGGAGTGTTGTAAGGCTCTTTGCTGTCATACACAGGCTTGAAGTCCCCTGACCTCTCGATGAAGGCCTCCCTGTGGAATAAAGAAAACCAAGTTTAACTCCAGTGGTCAGATATCTATATTCAAAATGACTTAAGGACAAAGATAACAAATGAAAAAGAAAGGCTCTGCGCTCTTTACCTCAATCCCTTTAATCCTGGCAGTTCACTGGCTCGACATATCTCCTCCCAGCTTTTGTCCTGTAGCCAGCTGGGGTCTGGGTTGGCAATGCTTGACTGCAGCCCCACTCCTCCAGTCAGCAAGAACATGAATTCCGAGTACTCAATCTCCCCCTTTTCCCTGAAAGCAAATATCAACATGAGTTGTCACGTATTTCATTTTCATATGAGAATCTGGTTTAATGCTCAAAGCAAATCTCGACCAGTGTCCCACAGGATCTTGAGAACTTACAGTTGTATATTGGAGCAGAGGAGGAAGGAGAAGAGGAGCTTGTCCTTCTCAAACAGGGAGCGACAGACGTTGCAGTACAGGTTGTAGGTGAAGTGAGTGGTCAGGATTTTCAGCCTCTTCTGCAGGTCTTTGGTCTTTGTACTGATGAAGGAAACACAACACAAAGAGTTGGAGGTGAACTAGTAGTTAACATTAGATGTCAGTGTAGAGTTTGTCTTCTTGTCATGTGTGCACATGGCATCTCATGGAACACATAGAAATGTTGCTACGTTTGCTGTCATGATGTCCGACGTGTGAATTTTAAGCTTGAGTTTACGGTATGTGCAGCAGAATTGATCTCACTGCACGAAGCTGCACGTGAATCACCCACCTGTCTTTGATGGAGTTGCCGTAGAGGTTGACAAACCAGTTCAGAGAGTACTGGTACATGGGGTCGATGTTGGTCAGATCGGCCATGCTGAAGAACAGCACAGAGGAATGCTTGGCAATGCGTCGGTAACCCTCCCTGGACTCTGCAATCTGAATTTCTGTCTTCTCTGCAATCTGGATTGAAACAGTACAATGTTAGATTACCAAATACATATATGTCATATGTATGTGAATGACAAATAACACATTCCAGAGCTTGTGTTTTGCGTGTGGTCCGTACCTTCTGTTTATTGGTGATGACTTCAGACATGACCTTAGCCGAGTCTAGAATCTGAATGGCACTCTCATCCTCCAGGATATTTCCCTCAGAAGACTGCAGCGTCTCGAGGATCTGATCCTCAATCTCCTTCAGCTGCCTCTTGTTGTCAGCCGACTGCAGGATCAGTGCGTTCCTCTCCTTCTCCAGCTCTGGCCTGAAGGGCAGAAAATCAACAATCAGATGCAATGCTCTGCCGATGTGACAAGTAGTGTTTCAGGCAAATAACAAAGTGACCATTGTACAAGCCATACCTCTCCTTGGCAACCACGATGCCCAGCAGCTGGTCCTCCAAGCCCTCTGGGGTGATCATGAAATTCAGCAGGGAAACCTTGGTGGACAGCTCTGGTAGGTAGTGAGGGTTCCTCAGCTTCGTGGTGATGTAGAAACTGAAGTTGGCGGAGTACTCGATCACACTTTCCCCCAGCTTGATGCAATCCACACCACCTATGAGAAAGACAAATTATTTATTTTACTTGAGTCCAATTAAATGTAATCAAGAGTCTTTTAGAAGCCATATCACATTCCCAGCACCTTGCTTAAAGGTCTGTTTGAGCAGCAGTGGCTCCAGTGACGGGTCCAGCTCCTCTCCAACATTTTCCAGCAGCACAGGAGTTCCAAACTGAATGCAGTTCTCCAGAGTCCTCATGTAATCCTCATCCGACAGCTTGATTACACTCAGGTTGTTGTCCTTCTCTAAATTCTTCACCCACCTGTTGGCCTGGCCCTGAGGGTCAATCATCAAGGGCCTGCAATAACACAAATAATTTAAGATAGAACAAAATTTAGGTTGAACTGTTTTAACCTAAAAACTGAAGAGGATTTAATACTTCAACAAAAACAGACTCACCATCGGCGTGAATTCCTGACAATGACACCATTGTCGATAGAGAAGGAGTCACTGGGGAGACCTGCAATGTTCCAAGCCCTGATCTTGATGGGATCTCCCAGGGTTTTACTGAGAGAGAAGTCATCTGATGACGGAATGTTTTTGGACTAGAGAGAGAGTTTGAGATAAAGGAAAAAGGATTGTAAAAAATTAACAAAGTGCATTCACTCAAATCGCGTGTTTGTTCAAATAGAGTAACTAAAAGAACTAGATGAAAGGCTGAAGTTACCTGGCAGAGCTCAGTCCACTTCTTGGAGCAGTCCTGCCTGAAGCCAGCCGAAAAAGCTCCGAGGTAGGCGATGACACCAGCCGAGACGAGGACATCCCCAGTCAGGTTGTCGTATGTGCTCTGCAGGCTGTCTGCTGCCTCAGACCACCTGGACAGATCACGAGCAACAGATTTCAGTCATTCAAATCGTATTCCAATCATATAAAACAATGAAGAATGGCCCTGCGTGGGATTTTAAGCGTGCGACGAAAAAACAACCTGCTTGACACAAATTTTCATGCATCCTCACCTGGTCTTCTCTCCACCCAGACCACCGATGAGTTTCTCAGCCCTCTCCAACTTCTTGGCACACAAATCCACTTGGTACTCCAGCTGAGCCTTCTCCTCGGTTTTATCCTCAAAGGTTTTCTTAAGATCAGCCAAACGGTCCTCGACCTCCTTTAGCTGGCCTCTCTTCTCCTCCAGCAGGGTCATGGTGGCAGACAGCGACTCCTCTGCCTCTGCCAGTTTGGCCTTCTTTGGAGCCACAACCTAAATTCACAGAGAACGATTGAGTGTTGATGCAAACATACATAACCATGCACTTGTTAACAGGATATATTAGAGAAAAAGGTCTGTGCAAATACACAGAAACACTGCACCTTCGCCACCCTGTCGTACACCTCCATTGCTTGTATCCACTTGCACAAACCCTCTGCTGCAGAAGACGCCTTTGCCACTTTAGCTGGGTCAAAGCCAGCCTGAGTCATGTACTCATTACGGATCTGTTGCATCACAGGGGCCTGCAATGAAGAGATGGTTGAATTAGTCAGAACAAAACACGAGTGTTTCCATTAATATAATTACATTGATCATACATCATATTTAACATGGATGTAGTTTTTCTGACACTCACATGAATGTTGTCTTTGTCATACTCCTTAAGATCTCGTAAGAAGTTAATGTCCCCCAGAAGCTTCTTGCTTGGACCCCAGTACTCTGTAACCTAGAAAATAAGACAGACGTGTTATTCATGAAAAAGAATGTTAAAATGTTTTTGTCGTTAAGGGTTTTGAAAAAAAGGTATATTTAAGACATAAATCTGACCATTTTTCCACTCCCAGATGGATCCGGTATCCTTTCTGGCTTTATTCCCATCATCACACAAACTGCTGCCATCACCAGTTTCACCCCTGGAGGTGGATTTTTCATCGATTTCACAATTGTGACATCGGAGGGCTGAAATGAAAAGAAGCATCAACTTTAGCATACACTGTCTATGCATCAGCAGCTGTCTGAGCTGCATCAGCTAAACGTTGTACAAAAAGGCAGTGTGGTTGAAGCGTTCTTACTTTCAAAGTGTTCAAAGCCGTGACCGCAGCTTTCAGGGCGGGGATAGCCTCAGCCAAGTCGCTCTCACACTCATCCTTCAGAGCCTGAGCTGCGTTGGCTTTTATAGTTGCCGCTTCCTCATCAACACGCACAACTTTACTTTTGGCCTCCACCTCCACAGACTCCTTCTCAATCACCTGTAAGTCGTCATATTCAACATTATAACATTATATATACTTAAACAGATATTTCCATATATAATCTCAGTCAATGTTGTCAAAGATGTGATTTCTTCACCTTCATCATTTTGGCGTTGTCTATCTTTGCCTCCTCCAGCTTAGGCTGTAGGTCCACCAGCTCCTTCTTCATCTCACCCACCTACATTGAGACATTGTCAACATCAATTTTAACAGAGGTGTCCGCAACATTTTTAAATGAAAATAAAATTGACAATAAACAACACAACACAGGCAATAGTGGTGCTGCATATACCTGAGACTCAGCGAAGGCCAGTTTATCCAGACCGTTCATATATCTCTGTTTTGCATTCATGACAGTCTCTCGTTTCGTAGTGAGTAGCTGACTGAAAGCTGCAAGCAGCTCCAGGTAGGAAGTGGGTGTCACATAATTATGACGGCCAAGCTCAGAGAGGAACCTGCAAAGGAAACAACAGTGTGAAATACAGTACGTGGAACTTACCTTTAAATCTCATTTTAATATGACTTATAGCAAACCACGTGTTGTACCTGTTTGAGAGCTGTATGGCAGAGGTGTGGAATGATTTGCAGATGGGAATGACATCCTGCCTCTCGTTCTCACTCATCCCCAGTGACTCCAGGAAGGAGTTGGCCACACGCTCCAGAGCCTCCTCGGGCCATGGCTGTCAGGGCAAAGAGGGAAAGATTTAGAGTGGGAACAAACACAGAAGATTCAAAGACAGACTGCTGACACTGATAGGAACCGCGTCTATGATTAACCTCCAGCACATCTCATATTTTACTCATGGCTATGTTGTACCTGGAACCAGTCAATGGTGCAGCAGTTGATGAGAGATGGAAACTGGCGCAGGCGAGTTCGAAAGGCATCTCCAATGGGACTGAAGGCCACAACAATGTGCAGGTTCTCTTTACAGCGTGCCACGAAGAATGCAAATACCGCCAAAGGGCTTAACTCCACCTTTTTATTTCCAGCCTCGGCAAGGGGACGCAGCGTCTGGAGAAAGGGAGATGAAGTAAGTGAGCCAGTGAGTTATATCAAATATAAATGGATAGGACTCAAAGTATTTACTCAAAGTATGAGCTGCTCTACAAAGGCTATTACAACCTACCTCGATAATCTCTTGCTTCTCGTCTATGGCAAACAGATTGGGCACCTCTCCTGTGTTCAGGACACTGTCCAAGTCCTCCAGAAAAGCCTCATCTTTGATCTGAGCGTCAGTTAGCAAGAACACCGTCTTCTGTCCCTTCAGCCCGGCATTTTTCAGCAGCATCTGTATTGCAAGGAAATTTCATGTTAAAACTCTTCACAGTTGTATCACACACAGAAATAGTGTGAAAATGCATGAGAATAACAGGAGACTTTTTAAAAACAGTAACACTCACCTTGACATCATCCCTCCACTCAATCATGCTGTAGTTCTTTGTGATCTCAGGCTGGAACAGGGTCATGTGGGCCATGGATGCAGCCAGGCGTGTGATGGACTGACGCCCACTGCCTCCCACTCCCACGAGCAGGGCATTGCCTCCTGGCTGCTTCAACACACGGCTGATGCAGGATAGATGCTCCAGGAGGTAGCTAACAGAAAACAGACATTTCGTTAAAGTTACAATTTACATGCAAAGACTGACTAGAGCAAAAATGATCACGTAATGATCAAGTTGACCAAGACCAATTTCTTTTATTCTGTAATGTTAAAGCTGTTTACCGGAAGATGACGAGGTTCATGTGGTTCTTGTGCATCTGGTTGTACTCGGCGAGACACAACTCCACCACCTGAGAAAAGCTCTCCATTGAGGGCACCTCAGCGTACAGGCGCTCATCATCCTCCAGGTCAGGCTGCATGTAGTCGCCAAATAGAAGATTGCTCATGTCCTCCTCAACCAGCTGAGAAAGGGAAACATTAGGTGACATGGATTAGAGTCAGTTTTCTATAAGTTGAGTACAAATAAAGGTCTAAATGTTCCATATGTAAGTAAAAAATATATATAAACATATCAAATATTGTTTAGATTCGGAGGAAGAAGGGACGCATCCTTCATTTACAAACATGGTAAAACATAGTAATGGTAAAACACATGACACCACAGAAAGTAGAACTTACTTCACTCCCTTGCTTCAGGTGATCAAACACCTGAACAAATGACTCATTGAAGTGATCTTTGATGATGTTGTTCATCAGCTGGTAGAGCCAAGCTCGATCTTTGTCTTCCACCAGACGGTCGTAGTAGACACGAAAGACCTCGTGGACAAACAAGCTTATCATAGTTTCCGTGTTCTTCAGAGACTCCTTCTTCAGCAGTAGGCAGCCTTGGATGACGCGAGAGAAGTCCCGCAGGTTGAACGTGTAGTGAGACTTGGCTGGAGTTGGAAGCAGGTTCTCCATGGCTTTCTTATACACCTTTGGGAAATTCAAAATAGTGAATACGGTCAGAAATCTAAAGCAACGGAAAAGACGAGATGTTTGCTAAAAAGGTGTTCACGTGACGTTGAAGTTTCAGTGTTTAGAATTTAGTGACATCTAGTGGTGAAAAAACATGTTGCAGCTGAACACCCCTCACCTCACCCTCCCCTTCAAAACATGAAAGAGAACCTGTGGTCGCCTTCAATTGACATAAAAACTCAAAAGGTTTAGTTTGTCCAGTTTGAGCTACTGTAAAAAACATGGCGGCCTCAGTAGAGAGGACCCCCACCTGATGTAAATAATGGTTAAGAAAAAAACATTTGTATGGTTTATATGATCACACACTAACGAAACCGTCACTAGGATTATTTTATATATTAAATTTCCGCCAATAGATCCCTTTCACATATATCTTACACAGTGGACCCTTTAGCTCACTTACCTCCATGGTGGCCGTCACTATTTGGCTGCCAATATTGAAACACTCAGAGGGGAATTCATTGTTTTCGAGATGGAAGGACATCACGTTGGAGAAGATGCGAACCATTGTGTTATCGCTGAAGGCGTTGATGCCAAAAATGTTGAAGTGTCGCAGGAAGCGAGGCGTCACCATGTTCCTCCCGCCACCAGGGGGGCCCATAGCGGAGATGAGCTGGAGGTCGACAAGCGAGAGGCTGGAGGTATCCTTCAGATCGTACCTAATGGAGCAAAATGGACGTTAAATGAACAATGCTTTGTTTGGAGCAATAAATGTTCCCTTGTATCTCACACTGGTCACACTGGACATGTGAAACTGGTCTTTAATGGTGGATGGTTCATACCAGTTTCTGTGATCCATGTACTGTCGAAGAAGCTCCACAGGAGGCTGCGCTCCGAACTGCTCTAGAGCAGGCATGCTCATGTCATCCACAAAGATGACACACTTCTTTCCCATGGGGGGCCCAAACACTCCCTTCCTCCTCTTGTCCAACCCGGACATGATGATATTCTGGACACACAAACAATGAAAGTAAGAACGTTTTTAAAAAACAATCCTGTGTTGTTTGTCGAGATTACTCATCACTTAATATTTATGATTAATAAAGCACCCGACCAATTTAGTCAGGATAAAAAATAATCCCTCAAGGAACCTTCTTCATCTTTGGTTTTAAAAACCTCACCTGGATTTGGTTTGCGTTTGTACGGGCTGAAAAATTGATTAAGAAGGGTACAAAGAGATCTTTGTCCAGGTTGTTCATCAATTTCTCCTTCACATACACTGACTTCCCGGTGCCAGTCGGACCAACAAACAGGGAAGGTCTGGGCAGAGAAAAAAAGGTAGATTAAATTAAAATTAAAGAAAAAATTATATATATAAGAGTATGTGGGGGACCGATACATTCACAATAATTTATATTAATGAAGAACCATTGATGGTAAAAGTACTTACACTCCGTGGGTGATGCATTGGTCCAGAAGGTATGTGTAGCGAACCGTGTCAATGGTGGGAACGATGATGTTTTGCACTTTGGTGTCTTTGTCCCCCAGCTTGATGTCCTTGATGGTGTCATTCCAATGAACCCACCTGCCTTTTCGTTTGAACTGAATAAGAGATAAGAGGTAAAGTGTCTCGGTCACTCAAGTCATGGTATCTTCGGGAGTTGTACGAGTGAACAAAGGCAACAACACTTGTACGACTCCTGAAGAAATAAGTGTTATTTACTGATTCAAACACTGATTTAAACTTAGTCAAACACATCTGAAAATACCTCATAGAAGTAGTCATACACCAGGCCCTCCGAATCCATGGGACACTCCCATTTCCCCACAGAGGCTGGGAGAGGGAATTCCTCAGATTTTCCTGAGATGGTCGTCTTTAAGAACTCACTGAAAACTGCTTGGCTGTCTGCATCACAGCTGCCGCCCACTGACCACGTCATGGAGAAGGCAAATGCAGCCTTGGAGAAAAGAATGAGGTGTCATACAGAAAATACAACAAAAACAATACAACTTTTGCATGGTGCAATTCCAACGCAAGGGTTTTAAATAATTAAGGATATGAGATGATGAATGATTGAGTTTTTTTTACCATGATCCATGTGCGAATGTGTACATCCACACATTCCATCTTGACAGGCTCAGAGAGCAGCATCTCAACCAGTCGACACAAGGACATCACAGTGTTGCTGTCGCCGGTGGGAACAACCTCCTGCAAACAAAAACATTATCAGGCAAGAGAGAACTTCTGTTGTACATACATAAATAAAAGTAAATGTGTCAACTATTAGCGTAAAGTAAATTGTCTGCAGATATTTGTGACTGGATTGTTTTGGGGCCCGGGGTCACTCACCCTGCAGAGTTTACGCAGCGTCCTGTGGGCAGGTGGCAGGAGCCAATGGAAAAGCTCCAGCAGCAGCGAGCTGTTGTCCGGGCTCTGCAGAACTTCAGGAAGTGTATTCATCCAGGAGATGACTAAGGGCTCCCAGCCCAACTGAGATGGCTCCATGTAGATCATACCACAGCGACTGACCGTGGCAGGCTGCAGTGACACAAAACAAAGAAGATTCAATTAGATCAGATAAGAGTACAAAGCAAAACTGGTTTGTGTGTGTGATTCTCTGAGTTGTTGAGCTTCTAACATACTGAGGCCTGTGATAGATCCATGGCCTCAAATATTAGATTCATCTGATTGGACATCTGGATGATCTCGCCACTCATCAGGCACAACTGTGGAGGAAGAGCAGAGCAATAAAAATGTCAGTCGTAATGTGAAAACGAATCTGATCTAATATAAGAAATACTAAATGTTGTGAATGGTTTCACTGTGTATGTCTTTACCTTCTTGTTGTCATCCAGCACGGTGTTCATGCTCTCAATCCACAGTGTGTCTATGGGACCGTCAAACACCACCCACTTACGGTGTGGTGTATCGGCTGATGAGAACTCACGGAACGTGTTGGCCACAATCCCATCGGTCCACTTGAAGTGAGACAAGACAAAAAGTGAAACGATTATGAGAAGGAAAGGGACACCTGCAGGATCACATTAATACTGTGAAAACCAGACAATCAAGAGGATCCAAGGCACAGGTTAACTACCTCATGGGAAATTGGGTCAAACTGTCCAAAGAGCTGCCCCATGGTGATGGCCTTCGGGTTCACTGTCCTGAAGATGACTTTCTCCTGCTCGCACCCTCTCTCCTTCATAAGAGTCAGAGTTTCAGCGAGCACATGCAGCACTTTGGTCTTTCCGGAAAAGGGCTCTCCCACCAGCATGAATCTGAAATTAAGAAAAGGATCATTGTCATGCAAAATTGTGTTTCATTTTTTCAAATGGAAACATGCTCCGTAAAATGTCAACTTTTGGTAATGTGAGAAATTGAAATGTAACATACCCGTGCCTGACGATCATCATCTCATAGGTCTGAATCATCTTCGTCAAGAAGAAGTCTGTTGGCTGGACATTGTGATTCTTACAACAATCACCAGCAGCCTCAAGGAACAGCTGCAAAAGGTACAAAAACATCGATTTTAATATACAACACAATATAAAAAAACATACAATAGGTGTGTTTGAACTTAATTCAAAAGAATAAGTAATGACGGCTGTATCTGACCTTATAGTCAGCCTCTGGAAGGGAGATGCCTGGGAACAAGTCACTGAGGATGCCGTTGAAGAGCGGAATATCATGGGCGAGAAACTTGGGCTCATTAACATCCTTGATGGACCTCAGGAGCTGAGCGTCAAGACATGGAAGTGAAAGGGTCAGAAACACCCAACAAACCAAAAAAGGTTTCTAAATAGGACACTGTGTAAAATGTTAAGAAAATGCAATGGATTCAATACCAGTATGTCCTCATTCTCATCCGGAAAGGTCAGCTTGAGGTTTCCTGCAGCCACAAGTACAGCTTTGACAGCTCTCATACCATAATCATAATGAAACTGGGACGAGAGCTGCTCCGAACAGAGCCTGTAGGTCATCACTATCTTCACCGACAGTGGTTTGGCATTGAGGAAGCCATATGAGTACAGGGAGATCTCTGCAATCAGGGCGTAGTTGGGGACCATCATGGCGACCGTTCGGAACAACACCTGCACAAAGAAGAGACATAAATGTTGGACAGTTGCTTATTGCCTTATTTCAGGAAGTTGTTCAAATTAATAATCATCATAATTTGATGTCTGGTAAGATATTCTTTATCTCTGTTAACCTTGAGATTGTCTGGGAGTTCTGAACGTCCTGCATAGCCAGGGTTCATCGTGATGGACACAAAGCAGTTGGGGTTGAGTTTGAGCATGGTACCCTCAAAGTCAAACTCCTCTAACTTCTGCCCAACAGCCCTCTGGATGGAGAGAACCTGCTGGGCCACTACAGACAGCACCTCCAGCTCGATACGGTTGAATTCATCAAAGCAGGCCCATGCACCAGATGAAGCAAGACCCTTGAAAAACTAGGAAATATCACAGAACAGAATACGTGTTAAAACCATTCCCATTTGTAACAATGTCATCATCATTATGAATGTAAATATAAAATTTGCTGCTGATATTACTTTTCCCATAGCTATGTAATCCAGTCCGTCCGAACAGTTGAAGACCACACACTGCACAGCGAGAGCTTTGGCGAGATCTTTAGTGGTCTCTGTCTTTCCTGTTCCTGCTGGACCTTCGGGTGCACCACCCAAATTCAGGAAGAAAGCTCCAATCTGAGAAAAAAGCATAATATTTAACATCCAATGCCGAAAGTGGCATGTGCTCACATTCAAGGAGATTATTTGTTTGGTGTTTTACCAGAGTTCGGTAGCATCTGTCTGTCAGTGGGGTGATGACGAGACGTGGTGAGTTCCCCAAATACTCATAGGCATATTTCACATCACAGTTGATGATGCGAACACGAACGTTATCTTCATTCCAGTAGTAACGCAGCTGGGCAAGCCACTGGAAGTCCGTTTCACTCGTTACGCCTGTTAAAAAATGGTCAATGTAAATGTGTTGCTGTTTCTAGGTGCTGAGGCAAAGTTAAACTTATCAGCTCTGTATTTTGTGCTGTGAGGTACCTTTCTCGATAAGCTCCATGACCACATCCCGGGCGTGGACATCAATCGTGACCAGCGCTCCCAACGTGGTCCTCGTTTGTTTGGGCAGTTTCCCTCGCACCAGCTGTACGACATCCTTCAGCTGATTCTGGAGTTGCTTGTAGTAATCCTTCAAAGCCTACACAGATCAAAATCACTGTTACTGTTCCATCTTTTCTCCACTGTGACACTATCATGGTGCCATGATAATCTAGAGAACTTTTCAGATCAGTCATCACTGCTTTCAGTTCATTTAAAATTTTATGTCCTGCGCCAAATCACAACGCACATGATCTCAAGGCACTTACAATATTATGATACAATATACCCTATTAATGCCATCAAACGCCTTTGTTGTTACACCAATAAGGATTAAAATTACATTTTGATGTCAGCTAGGGATCCTCACAACAAACTCTTCTCATATTCAGAAATATTTGTCATGCCTCATTTCCGTGAAATAAGCTGTAATTGTAGGTATTTAAAAAACATTGTTTGTACATTTTTAAGGTGCAAAAACTTACATTTTGCCTGATGGCCTCATGCACCTCTGAGGTCCAGAAAATCTGAGAGGTGCAGAGCACCACCTGCCCAGGCCACTCCTTCACCCACTGGTTCCGATCAGTCGCAGCATAGGCCTGTTAATACAACCACATGTTTATCACTCATCTTTCTCACTATTACAGTTAACAAAGCAAGGTCTTGTGTTATTGTTTAAGGAAGTAGAACAGGGATCTCACCAGTCTGGACTGGGCCACTTGGTCCCTGACACTTTTAATCATCATATCCTCCACCTGCACCAACCACTTCTCCACAGCTCCTTTGGCTTGCGACGTGGAAATATTCTGGATTAGCTGCACACGCTCCCCCTCACTGCTGTACATTGCCTGGATATCCAGATTGGGAAGAAAGTCCAGTTTGGAAATGCCCTCAAAGCACTTCTTGAGATGGGGCTGGACTCGCAGTGGGTCCTTGGTCTCAGACAAGATCTCCAGCATTTCATCGTTGGACAGAAAGAAGAACCTGGATGCAACACACAATCAAAACTAATCTGTGACATGAACAAAGATTAGCGTACAAGTAACAATGCAAAAACATGTTGTGTACCGTGGGAAAAAGAGACGTTTCTTCTCCAGGTAGGCATTCAGTCCTTTCAAGATGATTTCCAGGAGGTTGTTGGACTCTTGCAGTTTTTCTAACAAACCAGGCATTGAAGTTGCTAGTAGAATCTATTTGAAAAGTCAGAGGTTAGTCCAAACAATGTATCTTTCAGGCTTTCTCAGTTTTTTTTTTATGATCTAACAACAGTTTTGACAAGTACCTTAGGATTCTTAACGCAGTGCCTCATGATTTCTTTCCAGTTTTTGTCCACAGTTTGGAAAAGTTTTCCCTCCTTTGGAATCTGCAGCATGATGTCCTGAGAGGAGAAGATGGGCTCCAGGTAAAGCCACTGGCTCTGTACCTTCAGCCACTCGTCTATTGTCTCCTGAATGTGAAGCAGGGACGCCTCCCATTCCTGAGGTAAAAAAAACAAAGACTTAAAGGACTGAATACACAGCAGGTGATTTCAAAATACACCCTCCAGGTGGAACTCTGATGCAAGTTGAGCTTTTGCTTAGTTTCTATGTGCATTCCCCAAAACGTGAAGCAAACCTTGATCTCCTTCTCTATGGGCTTGATGAAAGGCGAGCCCTTCATAGTCTGAGTCTTGACAATCTGGTCATCAAGAGTAGTCTGAATCTCGTCCAAGGAAGCCAGGATAGATATTCCAGAATCCCTGTACGGTTGGTGGTTGAAAAAAACGTCATCCCAAACACATGCCATGGATTCCATTGCCTTCTCCAAGGTAAACTCCTGTAGAGACACAAAGAAAGAGTGTGAGCATAGTCAAAATGTAGATACAGTATTGAGGTTTTAGCAAAATGAAAGGAAAGAGTCCTTACTTTGGTAGCAGCAGCACTGATAGTCTCAAACTTCTCCAAGTAAGGACCAAGGTTCTGTTTGAGGACATTGCGAAGGGTTGTACGAGAGTCAGGAGTGAGGTCGCTCCCCACGATATTTGACATCTCCTTCCAGTGGCGGGCTCTGATGCCTGGATTGCACATGACGGACACCAAGGGGATATGCTCCTGTTGACACAAGCACATTCCAGTGATTATTATGGCTTCAGGACTTCAAGACATTCACTGCAAGAGTTGATGACATCAATGAGCCCCTTAGTTTAATACAATACCTTGAACTGTTGGATCTGCTCTAATGCACTGGAGCAGAAAAGTTCTGTGGGAGACTCCTCCTGCTTCCTTGGATCAGTCGGTTTTCGATCAACCTTTCCACCTTTCTTTTCAGCCTCTGGTCTGAGCTCTCTCTGTTTCTTTTGGAACTTCTTCAGCATCTTGTAGATCTCCCTGTTGAACTCATCAAGCTGTGCCCCAATGCTCTGCCCATCTAACTCTGTGAAGGTTCCATCCATCCACCTATAAACAAAGAAGATTACAGGATATATATATATATATATATATATACACACAAACACAACATGTGTCAAACTGAAGTTATACCTTTTCTCTGCGCTCTGCCACTTCAGTGAAAGTCCAAACAGCGTGTGGTACATTGCAATGGTCTCTTTCATGACATCAACCTCTGGGAAATGCATGAGGTCCCATTCATAGACGACCTCCTCTTTGTTAAGGGAGACGATTGTCTGCTCAGTCTTCTGGACAAGTTTGAGAACTCTTTGCACATCGGTCATATGCTACCAAACAAAAAGCACAAGACATTTAAATATGTATACAAAGAAACAGAATAAAAACTAAATTGATTAAATTATTTAATGAAAAGTTTCTGACCAAAAAACTAAATAAAATAAACGAAGAAGCAAAACGGAATGGAATAAAAATTTCTACTAATTTCTCAGATTCCGAAATTGCTGGAATTAGGTGACACAAAATGTTCTGTGATGCTTTTGAAAAATTCTGCTTTCATTGCAAGCATTTATAGACATAATTAAATTTGAGTATATAATCCGTCCAGTAATTTCAGGCCTTGTTATTTCATATTAAATTATTTTACAATAGTTTGTCATTTTAAAAATGTGCTTTTTGAATACAGTAAGATGAGAAGATCCATCAGCATATTTACCATATATACAGAGTCATATATCTTCTCATCTAACGCAAGAAAGCAAATACATGTATATATCCCAAAATGTTTATCTATTGAGGTTATCTGAAAGCGACACTGTACCTCATGCGCCCTGTCCAGCTCAAAGTAATCTTGGAAGTCCTCTACTCTAACTTTCAACTTCCGCAGCTCTGCCGATATTGCCTGTCTTTTGGCGAACAGCTCTTCCGCTCCTTTCTGCTTGGCCGTTGAAAGGATCTGGAAAATAACGAAGATGCCCAGAATTAGGACATCTTTAAAAGAAAGCATAAAAATGCAAAGACTTCGGTTATATAAAGTTATAAGCAGACACACAAGCCTTACCTCATCATTGAGTTCTAAGACAGTCTGGATTTCTTCTGGCCAGTTTATGAGAATGCTATTTTGAACCAGATCCTCCTCCTCATAGAGGGAGAAATCAAAGAGGGTCATCATATGACAGCGGGCCTCCTGTCAAAATACAAAGTGGTAGGGATTGGTGTTAGATTCAAACACAATAACTGAAATCCATATTTTAATTTGCAAAATACTTTTTAAGCTACGACAAGTAGAGCCAATCATTAGGTTACTTACCGCAACTTTTTCTTCCATTTTAGCAGAACCCTTTGTTTGAATGAAATTGATGTACTCAATCATCTGGGCTATGTCCTCTGTAGTCTTTGGAACAATCAGAGCTTTCTCTTTGATTATTTCAAATTCAGAACAGATCCTTTGAGCGGAAACAAAAAGTATTAAATATAAATCAAAATGTCAATGTTCAAAAACACAGAGTGACAGTGTTATTGTGAATGTTACAAGAAGTGACTCACTGTAGAATCTGCTCGCGGTAGTTGGTGAGCATTTTCTTTAGAAGTGTCTCAGAATAGCTTTTTGCTCGTCTGGCGAGCCCATTCCTTAGCTCTTCACAGTTCAAATGGACCATTGGGACATTTACTTGTGGCGGCAACTTCATAATGTCATACCGCAGAGCATGAAAGTCCTCTACCCGCTGTAAGAAGCAGTGAAATTGAACATTGACAGTCACCTGGAAAACTGACAGCACGCTAGGTTTAGGTGCATCATGAATTAAACATTATTATTTGTTACCTTGGTGTACTCATCAAAAGAGTGCTCTTCCTCCATGAACTTCTCCACCTGAGCCTGTGCAGTTCCATTGACTAGCCAGTTGTACTTTTCAACTGCAATATAAAGCAGACGTTAGCTCTGAAGTGACTCAAGATCAGCAGAAGATCTCAATGATGGGGGATGATGGGAGATTACTGGGTGAGATTATGAAACATTACCATAATGTTGGAGATGTTTCTCAGGATCCTCCATATTCCTGCGCATCGATGCCTTCAATGCATTTTGAGCCCAGGCTACGATGAGAGGAGGCACTTCAGCATCAATATATTTCATCCAGTCTCCCAGCTGTGACTGGATCATCGGGACTCTCTGTGGATCATTATCATACATTTCAACACTATCTTAGAATATATCATTTGTAGCTCAAAACACAATAAAATTACATAAAATTGTGTTTTGAGTGGTTATTACACATGACTTCACCTGCAGTGCATTTGTGATGGAATGAAGAATCCCCAAAACGTGATCTTCCAGATCTTGTGAGGAGGGGTACATTTTGATCTTTTCATCATCTAGTGTCAAGACCACACTGATGTCGGGCATGCATTGTTCATTGCCAGGCTCTAACAGTTTGACAAACTCCTCTATGTTTCTCTGAAGCATGGCTTTCATCTAGGAATTGACATGAGAAGAATCTCCGTAAATCCAAATGCGTGATCAAGAAACATACATTAAAAGAGCACAGCAGTCAAACATAATAATGTTGGTAATCTGCAGTTTGTACAAATCTATCTCAATACAGCAGACTATATATTTGCATTATTTACACTATGGGATGAGATTCATTTTACTATAGGCAGCTCTAAAGACACAACATTGTCCATGTTTCAATTCAAGGGAGTTTGCTTACGATCTGAATACTGTTTGTAATAGTAAATTTAATAATCCTGCTTCAAATTCCTAAAATCAGCATTACCTGGTTGGAGATGAGGGTGGAGGCACAGTTATAGAAGGAGTCCAATGTATCTGTAATTCCGTTCAAATGTTTTGACTTAGTTAGTAGCTGGATGACTTTGTGGAACCACTCTTTCATGAGACGTTCCTCTGTCGTACTACACTCCTCAGCTATTTTATTCCGTAGCCTTTTATAGTTCACGGGGCTGGAAGACCTGAACCAGCAGAAGCCAAAATTAAATCAGAAAGAGAATTGAGAAAAACTTCACATGAAACATCCTAGTTATGTGCTTATTTTAGTGGATCCATTTTAGCATTCATGACGTCTTTTCTTACGTGTATCTTGAAGGATCGACCAGGACCAGCGTGAAAAATGTCATGTGGCCCAAATTCGAAATAGCCTGGATGACCCGATGCACAATGTGCAAATGACTTTCCATCCACTGGCGGTTTCTGATAAAGCTCTTATGCCATTGATGGGAAACATTAAAAACTCTGGAAAAAATTGGAGATGCATTTTACAAAAGGGTGTGAAAATGCTACAACCACTACAGCTTCTATGTGGTAATTCTGTATTGATCATTTCTCGACTTTAGATGCTCACTTTATGCGCGGAGCTCCCTGCTTTTCTGAGCAAGGCATCTTATCTGGATTCTTTAATGTTGTGTCAGCTAAAGGGAGGCAAAATGGCATAATGAGACACGATTCCATTGTACGCTGCATGTATGCTACACACATGCTGTAGCTTACATTAACAAACAATTGGCAATACCGTAGTTTGTGACCAGAGCACAGCGGAAGTTGTTGCGGAGCTCCATGCAGAGCTTCTTTAGCTGTATCTTTGCGTCAGTGCTCTCTTTAAGTTTCTGTGGGATTCTGGCACCAATTGAGGCCAGCCACTCTTGTGGAATTGGAGCGACTGGGCACTTCTCTAAACCCTGCTTCAGGAGCTCATAGATCTTCTGCAAATGGGACAGAAATAAAATAAGAAAGGCACGATATACATAAAAGTAATTAAGGACATCAATA